TTATATATGTATGCTCTTATGAAAATTATATTGGCCCTTTAATCTTTGGTTATACTTCCCTTTTGGGTGTTTAAGGACATACAATTGGACCCAATAAACTGATTTGTTTTTACTCTTGAGGTTGTTTGAGGATCTGTTCCTCAGGGGTCTCATGGGCTTGGGAGGAGCCCCTGGCTCCTTTCTTTTATCAGTTCCATCTATGTGAAGATAAGCCAAAGGTCCTGCTTGACCATTGTTGGCTTCTCTTGGAAGCATGGAGGAAAAAAGATTAAAAACTCATTTGATTTTATGTCTCACTGGGTTTATACTCAGTTCAATGTTGTATAACTATATGAATTCAACTGTGAACCTAAAAATTTACAGCCACTTTTGAAAGAGGTGCATCTTTGCTCTGGAAATTGTTATTGAATATGTTAAAGCTGTAAAAGGATGCTTCTTCTAATCATGTGGTTATTAGATAAATTTCAAAAATGAAAATTTAAAAATTTAAAAAAGCCATTTGGCAACAGACTCCGGGTAGGGATCTCATGTGAGCTCAGGGGTTCCTGAAGAAACCCTAAGATGGACTTTTGGCTCTCTCTGGCAAAGGTTAGTTACAATGAAGACAAAGAAGATACATTTGTATTTAAAAGAAAGAAGATCAAAAGGAACTGGTGTAAAAGTTGGTAGGACTGAAAACATTATGTACTTCAGGGATTTTCGACTTTTTCCACACTATTGAACATGTACAGAATAATATTGGTTTGGCCACCAATGTAAATATGCCTGCTTGGGAATGGATATGACTCAGCATCATGGGTCTCAGGGGCTATTTTCTCTTCCCCAAGTTCCATCGCAGGGTGCTAATTTCTCCGCATGCCTGGGAAGCCATTTGGAAATTTCTGCTTTAGAAATAAAGAGCCTTGGCAACATGAGATAAACACATTTGAAGCAAAATCAAAACCAATAGTTAATTGAAGAGAGTCTCTACCTTACGATAGTTTGACTTGTAATTTTTTCAACTTAATGTTAAAGTTATAGGCACTCAATGGAAGACATATTTTATCATATAATTTTATCATGTGTGCAGGTGCATTGTGTGTGTGTGTGTGTGTGTGTGTGTGTGTGTGTGTGTGTATAAGACAGGTATGCAGAGGCCATAGGTTAACTTCAGGCATTCCTCAGGAGCCATTCACCTTGTTTTTAGATACAGGGTCTCTCTTGGGGACCTGGGACTCACCTATTAGGCTAGGCTATTGGCCAGTGAATTTCCAAGATCCTTTTCAGTCTACATCCTCAGTACTGGGATTATTAGCGCATGACACCACAGAAGGCATTTTATGTAGTTGCTGAGAATTGAACTCAGGTCCCCATTCTTCCATGGCAAGCATTTTTACCAATGAGCTATCTCCCTTCCCCAGTCCTCTGTGTGTGTGTGTGTGTGTGTGTGTGTGTGTGTGTGTGTGGGTGTGTGTGTGTGTGTGGGTGTGTGTGTGTGTGTGGGTGTGTGTGTGTGTGTGTGTGTGTGTGTGTGTGTGTGTGTGTGTCCATATTTTACATTTGGATCTTTTCTTGGACTGGTAATAAGTGGTGGATACCCTGTCATGATGCTAGGTAACAGCAGTGAACCACAGCACTCTGACAGCCACAGCTTACATGGGCAAACAAGCAATACTCTACAGTGTGCTGTGTTCTTAAGCATAACATTTTTTAGCTGAAGAGTAGTCAATGAACTTTGAATTTACATTTCAAAATTATTATAGATTGATTAGGTCATAACCCTATCAGTGATGAAGGTGCATTTATACATATTAACATTTGGTTCAATACGTAATTCTAAAGCAAGAGGCAAAATATCATAAGAATGCTTAGAAAAAATACCCATCCAGAACCAAGGTTAATGACAAAGAAAATCAAGTGCCAAACAAGTTATCCCAGGACAGAAATCACTTTCATGTTATATGACTTAATAAAACAAGGCAGTGGCTTTATGTTCCTAATGTGGGCATTGAAGTAAAGTGACCAGCTTTGTGGGACAAGCTAGAAGGAGGAACTAACCACATGTTTATTTACATTCTGATGCTGTGATTAAACATTGTCCAAAAGCACCTGGAAAGGTTTATTTCATCTTTCATCTCTCAGGTCACACACTGAGGGAAGTCAGGGAGGGAGCTCAAGGCAGGAACCTGGAAGTAAGAACTGAAGCAGAAACCGTGGAGGAACATTGTTTGCTGGCTTGCTTCCCGAGGCTTACTCAGTTGTGTTTCTTATACAGTCCAGGCCCACCTGCCTCGGGATGGCACCACCCGCAGTAGGCTGGGCCCTCCTGCATCAATGAACAATTAAGTAAATGCTCTACAGACATGACCACAAGCTAGTCTGATGGAGGAAAGTCCCCACTTGAGGTTCTTTCTTTCCAAGTGACTGCATTGTATGTCAAGTTGACAAAGACTTACAAGCACACCACACTGAAGTGCAAACAAAAGCAGAACCAAAGAAGAGAGGGAGTTGGAGCGTGGCATTGGTATGAGAGGAAATCCATATATATTTGCTTCAAAATTTAGTAAATACTGCTTGTACTTCTTGGTTGATTTTTAGAGTTACATAAACTAAGTACTTTTGAAAACCTTGTATCTCACCTGTTCTGCTCTGTTACTCTTACTGCATGGAGGAAAGTATAGACTTGGAAAATCCCTTACTTCCTTGGGATAATTGAAGATGTTCAATGATAGAAAATTAAACAGTGTTCTTTCTTTCTCCTTTAAACTCATTGGCACAGTGAGTAGCAAAGTTGCGTGAATGATTTCATGAAAACAGGGATGAATGAATCTTCTAAAAGGCGGTTGAACCCAAACATTATTCCTAGTGATTGACAGCAAATCTGCCATGTATAACTCAGGGAACAAACACCTTTAAGACAGAGTGATGATGACAACATTTTCCTGGTGATGGGGTGCAAAATTTTTATGGCCCTAGGTGACTTCTCACATAGAAACCTATCTGGCTCATCCCAGGGTGTCTGCCCCAGCCCAGCAGGTACAGCTTTGTACTGACACATCCAATAATCACCAGCCCAACCATACTCCCTTCCCTAAACAAGCCATGTCTGTATTCATTCATCTCAACTTAATCTTGCTTCAGTACAGAGGCACATAGTTTTGTGTGCAGTTCCCTACAAGACTTCCATTACAATCTAGAACACATTCAGCTAACTCAGTTGTTATAGGTATTCTCTTGGTCTTTCCAAATTCTTTGCTTCTCTCAGTATTATGTTCCTTGTTGTGGTTAAGTAAAAACACAAATAAACCAGATAGCCACAGGACTTAGAAAATTTAGGCATTTTTACAGTACTTGATTCAGGCTTCTGTTTTAGAACTTATCTCACAGGCTGAGGACAGTTGTTTACATTTCTGACTCTTTCCCTCCATGTGAGCTTAATGGGGGATAGACAGATGTTTCTCTGCGGTTTATCAGGGTACCTAGACCTAGCATAGTAGGGCCTCATTCAATGTTGGGTAAGTAAATGAATAGACTGCATTTCTTGGATGGATATAGTCTTCTCGTTTTATGATATGCCTTAAAGAGTATTCTCTCTATTATGCACTATGCATAAATCTGTTTGCTTTATGTTTTAAAACTTCCTGGGGAGATTCAGAGGATGGGGGAGAGGCTGTGAGGCTGTGGCTGGTGGTTGCTGAGTCCTTCTGTTCATCTCTGTGCAGGTGGGGAAGTGGAAAGACAAGTCCCTGCAGATGAAATACTACGTGTGGCCCCGAATGTGTCCCGAGACTGAAGAACAGGAGGATGACCACCTGAGCATTGTGACCCTGGAGGAGGCGCCATTTGTCATTGTGGAAAGTGTAGATCCTCTGAGTGGAACCTGCATGAGGAACACAGTCCCCTGTCAGAAGCGCATAATCTCTGAGTATGATCCCTCCCCCTATGGCTCCGGGTAGCCTGGGAGAGAGCCAGATTTACTGTTAGCACATGGCTGACCTGGAGTTAGACACCTGTTCAGCTGGGCTATGGGGTCATAGTAATTTGTGATCAGATGTGTGGCTCCATCTAAACCATGACCTCAAATGATGATTGTTAACTAGTAAGCTAAGGTTCCCTTCAACTTGCTGGTCTTACTGACTGGGACCTAAGTTTATAGAGTTTTGTTCCCTTTTGGTATTGAAGTATGGTGGTGTCTGTTTTTGTTTTTGCCAGCATGTCACTGCCTACTGAGCTTTAGAGCCATGTTTTAAATTAATCTGCTGAAACTATGCTGTTAGAAGCCAAGATAATGATGCTTTTTGGTGAGGATGGGAAGGGAAATACCTGGAAGGGAGACTGCTAAACCTCTCAGGATCTGGTAGTTGTTTTATACCTGAATCCAGGTTCCAGTTAAAGCTATGAACTCAGTGAAAACTTCATTGAACTGAGTATTTGGTATATTCATGTATATTATGCTTCGAAGGAACATTAGAAATTGTAGAAAAATGTGGCTTAATATATTGAGACAGTAAAAATGTTCCAGTTCTAGGTATGGTTTATTTTCTCTGTCAGGAAGAAACTGAATAAACTGTACGCCACTGGTGGGGTGCTGTTTTGAGGTTGGAGTTTTAAAAGAGTTACATTTTGTTTCTTTGTACAAAGTCTTGCTTTGTTTGTTTCTTTAACTGGCTAGAAATAAAACAGATGAGGAGCCAGGCTACATCAAAAAATGCTGCAAAGGGTTCTGTATTGACATCCTGAAGAAAATTTCAAAGTCTGTGAAGTTCACCTATGACCTTTACCTGGTGACCAATGGAAAACATGGGAAGAAAATCAATGGGACCTGGAACGGCATGATTGGAGAGGTTAGTGTCAGGAGGCAAGGTCATAACAAGGACATCCCCACTGCACTTACTACATTTTAAGTATTTTATAAAGCCTCATCTTATGAATTTCAGGAAATATAAGATAGTAAATAGAGGGCTGGAGAGATGACTCGGTCTGTAAAGTACTTGCCTAACAAGCCTGAGGACCTGAGATTGATCCCCAGAACTCACATAAAAAATCCAGGTACAGGGGTGTATGCTTATAATCCCAGTTCTAGGAGCTAGAGACAGGAGAATCCTTGACTGTTAAACTTAGTTTAGCTTAACTGGTAAACTGTAGGCCAATGACAGACCCTGTCTCAGAGGAGGTAGATGGTATACCTGAGGGTAATGCCCAAGGTTTTCCTCTGGCCTACATACATACACATATTCTCTCTCTCTCTCTCTCTCTCTCTCTCTCTCTCTCTCTCTCTCTCTCTCTCTCTCTCTCTCTCTCTCTCTCTCTCTCTCTCTCTCTCTCTCTCTCTCTCTCTCTCTCTCTCTCTCTCTCTCTCTCTCTCTCTCTCTCTCTCTCTCTCTCTCTCTCTCTCTCTCTCTCTCTCTCTCTCTCTCTCTCTCTCTCTCTCTCTCTCTCTCTCTCTCTCTCTCTCTCTCTCTCTCTCTCTCTCTCTCTCTCTCTCTCTCTCTCTCTCTCTCTCTCTCTCTCTCTCTCTCTCTCTCTCTCTCTCTCTCTCTCTCTCTCTCTCTCTCTCTCTCTCTCTCTCTCTCTCTCTCTCTCTCTCTCTCTCTCTCTCTCTCTCTCTCTCTCTCTCTCTCTCTCTCTCTCTCTCTCTCTCTCTCTCTCTCTCTCTCTCTCTCTCTCTCTCTCTCTCTCTCTCTCTCTCTCTCTCTCTCTCTCTCTCTCTCTCTCTCTCTCTCTCTCTCTCTCTCTCTCTCTCTCTCTCTCTCTCTCTCTCTCTCTCTCTCTCTCTCTCTCTCTCTCTCTCTCTCTCTCTCTCTCTCTCTCTCTCTCTCTCTCTCTCTCTCTCTCTCTCTCTCTCTCTCTCTCTCTCTCTCTCTCTCTCTCTCTCTCTCTCTCTCTCTCTCTCTCTCTCTCTCTCTCTCTCTCTCTCTCTCTCTCTCTCTCTCTCTCTCTCTCTCTCTCTCTCTCTCTCTCTCTCTCTCTCTCTCTCTCTCTCTCTCTCTCTCTCTCTCTCTCTCTCTCTCTCTCTCTCTCTCTCTCTCTCTCTCTCTCTCTCTCTCTCTCTCTCTCTCTCTCTCTCTCTCTCTCTCTCTCTCTCTCTCTCTCTCTCTCTCTCTCTCTCTCTCTCTCTCTCTCTCTCTCTCTCTCTCTCTCTCTCTCTCTCTCTCTCTCTCTCTCTCTCTCTCTCTCTCTCTCTCTCTCTCTCTCTCTCTCTCTCTCTCTCTCTCTCTCTCTCTCTCTCTCTCTCTCTCTCTCTCTCTCTCTCTCTCTCTCTCTCTCTCTCTCTCTCTCTCTCTCTCTCTCTCTCTCTCTCTCTCTCTCTCTCTCTCTCTCTCTCCCTCTCTCTCTCCCTCTCTCTCTATCTCCCTCCCTCCCTCCCCCTCTCCTTCTCACCCCCCCCCACACACACACGGGAGAGGGAGGGAGAGAGGGAAGGGAGAGAGAGAGAGAGAGAGGCTCAATGAAGTTGTTCCCACTATACAAATGAAGTTACCTCTGGACCATGAGTATTTTCCTTGTGGTAGACTTGCCTGCTAGAATGTTCTAAGTGGAACATTGCACCTTCACCTTTCTTTTCAGGTTGTCATGAAGAGGGCCTACATGGCAGTGGGATCACTCACTATCAATGAAGAACGATCAGAGGTGGTTGACTTCTCTGTGCCCTTCATAGAGACCGGCATCAGTGTCATGGTGTCACGCAGCAATGGGACAGTCTCACCTTCTGCCTTCTTAGGTAAATCCTGTGCTTGCTGATAATAGGAAATGGACTCAACGACAAGTAGATGGAATGGGGAACAAATTGTTTGTTAAGAGCTGAACTCAGACAGGGAATTCATTTTAGGGACTCAATTATTCTCCACAGAAATGAAAGAACACCCCCAAGTTAGGAGGGCATGGTGGTGCTCTGTAAGAAAACACCCCCTTCTGGCCATCAGAGGCTTCATTGAGTTCCCTTGGTATTACTTAGCCTTCACTTGACCTACAGCAAATTTCCTCCTTCCTAAGAACTCAGTTTTTTCTCATCCAAAGAAAAAGGCATCTCAACTTGCTTATATCTGCAGCTACTTCTTGCTGAAATAATTTCTAATTCTAGATGTAATTGAAAGACTTATTTTTTAATTATCTTCAAGAACTGAGCTTAGCAATGCCCAAAAAACTTATGTTTTCACATGAGCTTTCTGTGGTCTTACTAGCCAGAGCTGGTCTTGTGCTTCCTCTACTCCATCTCACACCATCTTTCCCAGTACCACGCTCTCCTTCCCTTCTCTCAACCATAACTTAAATGTCAAAAGCAGATGTGATATAAGACTGGGTGAGATAAGGCCAAGACTTGAATTAGATGAGGACTTTTGTGAGCTCATACCCCATAATTTTTGTAGGGGCCATGGAGCCAGGGGTCAGAAATGAAATGTCACCTTGAAAACAGAACATTGGGCCAGGAGACAGGAATCCCAGTTTGGTCAGAAATGATCTATAAGCCCTTGGACCAGTCACAATCACTCTTAAGAGACAAAAACATGTTTTAAATGAGAATATTAGAGCAGACAGTGACTAACCTTTCTTTAAGTTCTGTCCATAAAGAACTAATTCAATTAGTTCACTACTAAGTGGAATTAGAGATTCCATAAAACTTTTCAATACCTTACTCAAGTTTCTTAGCCAGTCTTCTTGTGTATAATGAACCAAATTCTGACTCTACTCATTTATATGAAGTGCTACTAGATAGTACTGAATGAATTCATCCTCATAGCTTCTGTGTATAGTTTATTTGCATGTTTCCTTTATAAGGATGATTGAAACATGAAGAGATACAAAATACATTCTAATTCTAATTTTGTCAGTACAGCTAGTTAACCCTGGAATAACAGAGATGTTAGGCAGTATATCTTCTTATGAATGTCTGGAAAAAGAGTGGTTCATTAGTTATAGAAATTCTAGAAGCCAGCATTCATTGAATAGCAACACTATGATATGCTCAAGGCTTCAGTACACATGCTTTAGCTGTATCAACTCATAGATGCCGCTTTCTGAGCCTGAGCTTAGAAAGAACCTTGCCCTCTCAGACTTAGTTCACTCCTCTGTGAAATACGTACAACAATCCCATAAAGAAAGGTCCATTGACAGGATTATAAACAATGGTGAAAACACATTATAAATTGTAAAAACCAACACTGATGTTTGCCCTGAGGTTGGTGGGGGTGGGGGGACTACAGAAGTAAGGTTTTCATTCAATTTTTACATAGTTTTAGGAAAAATGAAATCCAGGAAGGATTTCTACCAGTTATTTTCAAGAGTAGAGGATGTTTTTACTATACCACCCAGAGAAGCTTCAAACTGTATCATCTACACTTGATTCTCTGTTGCCATTGAAACATTTTGCATTTCACAGTTGGTGTGTTAAGCTCTGGGGCTTTGTTAAGGGTCTTTAATAATAGATTAAGTGACTAGGCTTTTATAATCCCTTTGGAAGTTCAATAATAAAATGGGTTTCAGAGTAAGAAATATATTTTCTAATTTTCAGCCAATTTTCCCCCTCTCTCAACTTCATCTTTATTAATGATTTGGATGATGGGGAAAACAGCATGTTAATTCACTTATTATGAGTTTACAATGTGATATGACAGCTAAAAAGGCCAGAACTATTTTGGGACACAATTGAGGGAGCACTGTATCATGGGACAGAATAACGATTGTTCCTTTTTACCTAAACCATCTTGGAGATGGCTTTTAGAATACAGTGTTCAGCTTATAGGCACCTTTAAGCCAGAGAGATTTAACTCAACTGGAAGAGATTCAACAAAAATGATGTGATTAAAAGATATTCAAGAAAACATGTACAGAACATTCTTGCTATCTTATCTGGTCTTAGTCCATCAGCCCTATCACTTGGTAATAGGAGACAAACTCTAATTGCTTTGTGAGTCACACGTTATGCATGCTCCTTTGTTACCTGCTAAATCCCCAGTTATAGATACTGATATTCAATGCAGGCAGAAGTATTAAAATATTGACTTATATATTTCATATTCTAATGATACCTAGTACAAAATCCCATATCAAAATGGGTTGGAAAAGTACGTGTAGGCTGGAAACTAACAGAAAGTGATGCAAAAGTAAAGGGGGAATCACGGTGCATCGGTGTTACTGAACCAGTTCGGCTCTAAGTAATCTGTAGGTTAAGTTTGTTGAGCATTTGGCTGCAAGGCTCACCAGCATTGGGCAAGGCCTTTTGGGTTTCCACTTTGTGTTATGGACATGAGGGCATTACTGGGTCAGTTTAATATCATTTACTCATACCATATCCAGTCTTTCTTCCAGTTGACCCAGATATGGATACCATAGTGACAGAAACTGCCCCCAATAAACCCGATAAGGTTTACAAGCAGCATGGGGTCCTCTTAATGTGTTTGAAATATAGCAATCTTTACAGACCCACTCAGGAATGGAGCTGTGTGAGTTATATCGTATTTCTCCCTAATCCAAGCCCTGGCTCTCTGAAGTCACGTAACACACTTGTGGTTTGTGCTCCTCAAAATAGGTGTTTGATTGAGCAGATGTTTATAGAAATGATTAGCTCTGTTTGTTCTCTGCTTTGACCCCAAGCTCTGTTTTGCTTTCCTTCCCAGAGCCATTCAGTGCTGACGTGTGGGTGATGATGTTCGTAATGCTGCTCATCGTCTCTGCTGTGGCTGTCTTTGTCTTTGAATACTTCAGCCCTGTGGGTTACAACAGGTGCCTCGCTGATGGCAGAGGTAAAGCAACTGGACTTGCTGTGTCTGTGTTTATTTTTCTAGGTCCTGATTCTGAATCGTTGCATCCTTGCTTGTTTTCTACATCCCTGTAATTTCTGTTGGTTGCTAACTTAGCAACTCTTTAGAAATGCCCAATAAAGATGTTAGTTTGACTCTCTAAGTCCTCTTTTGGTTCCCATCAGCCCCAAACCCAGCTCTACCTCTGGGTAAATGAGGAGAAAGATTGATAATAGAGATGTTAACAGAAGCATGTCCCGTAACCACAGGCTGTGGGCAGTCTGTAGGAACAGATGTGAGGAACAAGGCAGATTGTGCACACATGTTAAAATAAGAATAGGTTGCTTCAAGGTGCATGTAGGTGACTGCAGCTGTTAGAACTCCCCATATCCAAAGGATCACTGACACACAGAATTTCCAAAGCATATGTCCTTGGCCCAAGCCTCTTGCTAGGGAATATGGAAGCTGCATATTTAAAATATAATGGACATGGAAGACCTGTTCTCACTCATAGCTACTATGAAATTGATCTACTTCCTGGGTAGGTAGACATCAATATGATACCCAGTTTTGAAACACTAATGATAATTTTTAAAACTTCATCATAGCTGGGCATAGTGGCGCACGCCTTTAATCTCAGCACTCGGGAGGCAGAGGCAGGCCGATCTCTGTGAATTCAAGGCTGGCCCGGTCTACATAGTCAGTTCCAAGACAGCTGGGGCTACAGGGAGACCCTGTCTCAAAAGAGACAAAAAAAGTTCATCATAGTTCTGGGGCCTGGATAGATGGCTCAGCAGTTAAGTGCACTGGCTATTCTTGCAAAGACCATGGTTCAAGTCTCAGAACCCACATGGCAGCTAACAATTGTCTATAACTCCAGTTCCAGGCCCTTCTGTCCTCCACAGACATTGCACTACAAGGGTGCACTTACACACACGCAGGTATAACACTCATACACATGAAATAAAAATAAATAAATAAATATTTTTAAAGTTCATCATACTTCTGAAGGGGCCAGGGGATCCTAGTAAACAGATCCTCCCAAAATTTCTCAAAAGCCCAGAATTAAGAAATACGCCACTTTTTCTAAGTCTTCTTCTAGAATGGATGATTTTCTGGATTTATACCTCTAAGAGGACAGATTCTTAATCTTGGTTACTAATAAGAATTGCTCATGGTGAAAAGACAGCTACTTGGACTAAGCTTATTTCCTGATTTACTAAACCTAGGATGAAGCTTAGTGGTCATTTATCTTGGTCTCATTAGAATAACTAGATTCACCTCATAATCAGTTTAATAAGAACCTTTTGGGTGGTCACCAGGTTGCAATGTCTCATACCCTTCATACTTTGGTAGGCTTCAGGCCAGGCTGAGGGCTACTGGCTCACCAGCGCACATCCAAATGTGGCCCTACCTTTATAGTCAATTATGTTTTCTGGGAGGGGGGTGTTCTTCATGTCTCCACAATATGGTGCGGTCAGTGATTTCCCACCTGTGCTAAGGGCTAGAAGCAATGGCCTATATCCACATGAGGGATTCTAGTAGTCTGAGAATACCATAAGTATAGATTTCAAGAACTGAAGTTAGCGTAGACAGCCCTCTCACCCTGGGAAAATGTAAAACCAGACTCAAAAAATCCAGGTCCACAGAATCAGTGTAAGCAGTTACAATTACTCATGAGACCTTAGGGCGCTTCTCTTCACAAAGGAATTAGACAAAGTGTAACTCTAAGTAAGTATCAAGTCTCTTTGGAGCATTTTACAGCTAACAAAATTTTGATTTATAAACAACTTACTAGTTACACATCTGTTGCATGAAATCAGGTCCATATATATAGATGTGTGTGCACAGTTGCTATCAAGTTCAGCATGTTTGGTCCATGAGTTTGTAGCTGGCTTAGCAGATGTCAGGATTAAACCAAACATTGTAAGACCTGTGTTACTAGGCTGTAAAATTCCAAGGGCAGATGTTCATTTCTGCAGTGGAAGGTTGCACAAAGATTCAGATAACACATAAGACTTCTCCCTCACCAGTCAGGAACAACAGGCAGGTCATCAGGCAGAAACCCTGGTACTCTATGAAGATCAGATGGCGGGACATCTGTCAAAGACAACTACCTTTTTTAACCTCAGATGCACATGGCCAGGCCAGTCAGTGACCTCCTGCCTGGGCTTCCTTGTGCTCTCTTATACAGAAACCGCTACTGCAGCAAAGCCACTTGGGAAGGGTTGACATTGGAGGGGTTGGGGAATCAAGGTCATCTTTGAAACATTGGCTGGTAAGAGCTAGAAGCTAAAGGAAATATTCAAGAGTACATTCAAAGTCATCTAGCATGGAGGTATATGGCAATGGTTTAAAAAAAAAAAAAAAGACCTCACCCAATTCTTGATGTTTTGGAAGGTGCAACGCTCCTTTAGAAGATACAAATGACCCAAGTGTGACCATATTGGGCTAGTTTGCCTATGTTACTCCATGTTCACATGATAAGGGTGTTAATTGGAGAAAGCTCTCCCCACACATCAGGGCTCTAGATTTTCTTTTAAGAAACCCTGTTCCACCTTCCACAGATTACCAGAAGAGACACAAGCCCTTGCATTATAAAGCTGCCATTAGATGGACTTAGTGGAGAGCTTTCTTGTCCTTGGCAGGGATAGTCTAGTTCTGTGGACTTGTACATTGAAATAGATCCAGTGATTCTGGCCTAACTTTCTCTCCTCAACTTTTTAATCACACCAGAACCAGGAGGTCCATCTTTCACCATCGGCAAAGCGATTTGGTTGCTCTGGGGTCTGGTGTTCAATAACTCCGTACCTGTGCAAAACCCAAAGGGAACCACATCCAAGATCATGGTGTCAGTGTGGGCCTTCTTTGCTGTCATTTTCCTGGCCAGCTACACTGCCAACTTAGCGGCCTTCATGATCCAGGAAGAATATGTGGACCAGGTTTCTGGCCTGAGTGACAAGAAGGTGAGAGACCCATTTCAAACCTTCCCTTTCTCTCAATCCTGAGCCATACTAAAAGTTCTCATGAACGTGCTAATTTTCTAAATGTTTAGAATCAGTAGTTCTTTCTTATGTTTTCTTCAATTGGGACAAGGGTGCAGAAGTTGGTTTCCCTACTGAAATAATACTACTTTACGCTTGCCTTCTGATTCATAAAAGGTTGTCACAAGGGCACCCTGGGCTGCAAATGAGGGGCTTGGTATGCTAGTGGGGCCCTCTGAGTATGTGGCAGCTCTTGTTGGATGCGGTTGGGTGGCCTCTGTGCTCAGGGCTGCCTGTTTAATGTGTTATTAGAGGGCCGCCCCTTTGTACCCACACTGAGGGGACTAGAGCATTACGGCCTCATTTTCTTCCCAGTGGTGTTTGGCTGTGGGCTCTCCTTTTGTTCCTATGCACACACGTGTGTTCCTAGGGCTGAGCAGGAGTGTGGTTCACATTGTGTCTTGGAGAGAAGTGTTATTTAATGAGATGATTGCCCCTATGTGGTACAGGTGAGTGGGTTGTCCCCATACCAATTGTAGTCCTCCCCACAGGCCTTGCAGCATAGAGAGGAAGGGAAGGGGGAGGTATTCCTGGTTTGGTGGGTAAGGAGGTACAAAGCCCTTTCTAAAGGCCCATGACTTTATAGGTTAGCTCAAACCACCTCAGTTTCCATGGGAGATCTGTCCCCAGAAGTGTGACAACCTCAGTGGTCTAACACTGTAAGGACAGTGTTTATAGAATGTCTGGGACAACTTAGGACCAGCGACATTTTAAAACTTTTCCTTACAATAGATTTTCTATTCTTTGCCTCCTTAATAATTATGAAGTGTCACGTGCCATGTCTACTTCCAGGATGAAGTCCTGAGATACAGGCATAGTGCATTTAAGAACAAAAGGTAATGCTTTATCATGTTCATGGGGCTTCCTCAAGGTAAAGCGTTGATGAAGGTCCAGTTTCTCCATCCATCTCTCTTCATTCATCAAGAATATCAGGAGCATATGTGAAAGGGAAACAGTTCCTTGAGGGAATTTTATGTGTTCTTTATGTATGAGTCCATGTGCATGTGTGTATACATAGGTGTACATGTATGCTTGTGTGTGCTTATGTGTGTATGTGTGTGTGTATGTCTAGGGGTAATGTCTGTGTGTCTGTGTATATGAGAGAGATTCACTATATTTACTTTTCACTATATTTACCTTTTTTCTCATATTTTCTTTGCATTTCCTCTTAAAATGTTACTGTTCTAGCCCAAGATTTATTTTACATTTATTCATATACCCATCCATTTATTACTCAATCCATTTTAGAACCTTTGTCTCATATGGTTCCCTCATCAACCCCCTTTGTCATTGTGATCCTAGCTTTCACTCTATCTTCCCACCAACCTCTACCATCACCCTCACCTTGTTTTGACTATTTCTGTATAAGCAGAACTGGGGCTAAGCATAGCTACATTCTGGGGGCTTGACGCTTGGACTTCATATAGATAAGGTAGATCATGCCAACCATAAATTATATTTATGGCAGAATTTTGATGGTCCATTCTACCATAAAAAAAAATATATATATATATTTCAGAGGTATGTCATACTATGTTCATATCAAAATGTGGCTGAGTTGTCACAAATCATGTACCCAAAAAATTATGCCAGGACCATGTCACATTGCATGGATATAGAAAATGCGTAGTGGATCAAATCACCAAATAAGAACGTAGCAGTGTTTGCCAAGGTCATGTTGCTATGCTTCAATGTGGCAGTGGTGTGATTGAGCAGCAGCCCTTCTTCGGACTATCAACTGGTACATGAGGAGAATCTACCATATTTTATCAGAATGTGTCCTTCAGATGTCTCTGAAAATTGCTCTCAACATTATGTTCATCTGCCTCATACCTTTGTGCCACCCAGCAACAACTAGAATGCATTTCTAATAACGTTGAGATGGAGATGAAAGATCTGGACATCCTAGGCTATTTAGCAGAGAAAACATGTATCCGTTTGTCCTCCACATGTTGTTTGTTTTTAAAAAGTTCAGTCTCATCAATTCTTTTGCATATAATCAACACAGCTGTTTGACTTTTCTTTGGCTCTGATGTGGCTTCCATGTCCTCTATCAACCTCAGCTCTCCAGTAGGTCTGTCTGATCAGTGCTTCACTTCCTGTTTCCCACAACCTCAACTCCTCATCTCTTCTGACCTTGCCTCTTGAAACTTCAGGCTCAGGGCTCAGACTCTTGATCACTTGTGGAGCTCTCCTGGGCTCATCTAGACAGCCTGTCAGTCTCCTGCCTGTCACAGCAATGACTCATCTCCATATTCCAACACTTGTTTTCCATAATCTGTGTAATAATCCACAGACTTGTGCCTAATGGTATTTCTCTCTGACCATGAATGCCAGTCAGTAATTGGTCATCATTAAAACAAAAAAAAAGTCTGTAATGAGAGTGGAAGAGAGCATACACATGTTTGTGAGCCTCCTGCACCCACAGTAGACCCCACACTACAAGAAGAGAGCCACACACAGCATGAGCCCTTTAACAGCTGCTTAATTTGAAAATGTTCAAAAATGGTTATCTGATGTGCTTCAGAATGCTACAAATCACAAAATAGTAAAGTGTAAGCATCCTACCAGAAAGTGTCAGTGTAATTTACATAATTATAGAAAACATTTAAGTAACTAATGACATATGACTGCACATTAGTGTCAGGAACAGTTATAGAAATCAGAGGAGAGGATGTTGAATGTATACTTAAAATGTCAAAATCCATATTAGTTTTACTTCAAAACACCTAAAGAAAACAAAATGTTGGGACTGGCATGGTAATACATGTGAGGAAGTGCACTCTTTAAATTTAGAAAAAGAAAAATAATATATTTTAACAATACCATTGGGAATAGAAATGAGATGATTTTGAAGATTGTTTTTTCAATGTAATTACATTTTCATGAGGGAAAGTAACATTTACAATGGCGAGGTGCTCCCGAGCTTGTTAGGACTATCATAGAAGACATAGCCTCCATAGCATTCGAATGCAGCAGTAAATATCTCAGAGTGATGATGAAAAGGTATTTGTAGCTATTAGTTTTATAGCTCTTTAAAAATTTTTTCTTTAATAGTTTGGCAGAAAAAAAAAAGAAGCATTGAGATTTCATTAATGTCAAGGCATAAAACCAGAATGTTTGGAATTACATTTCTATGAGAACCTACTTCTGTGCTGCTTTCCTGAATGGCTTTCATTTCATGATGGGACATGACAGTGAGCTGACGCTTATTCTACCACATAATGGAATCAGATGTGCACACAAGTTGTAACAGCCCTACCGTACATTACTTTGGAACCCTCAATGGGAAGAGGGCATAAAGAAGTTAGTAGGAACGTCTCTGAACAAAATCCCACCTGCTTGTTCTTATGTTTCTCAGCTATCCAGATGGACATTCCATTTTGCTGTCTGCCAAATGTAGTATGAAGGGGAAAGACCTCCACCAGTGAAGGAGGGGGACAAGTTTGCTGGGTACTAGGTACATTGCCATTACCACATATGTGCTGTTTGTATATCCAAGGTTGAAGTCACTATGTATTTGATTCTAAGACCTCTCCATTGGGATGTTTCCCTTGGAGCTAATCCCAGGCAAAGTTAGAGGACACAAGTAAAAATTAACATATTATTTATTTTTCTTGTTGGGACAGAACATCTGACAAAAGCAATGTAAGAAAGGAAGGGTTTATTTTGGCTGTTGGGAACAGACACAGTTCATCAGAACAGGGAAGGCACTAGAATGAGAGATGGCTGGTCACATTGCCTCAGCACTCAGGAACAGAGAGCAGACAGGAACTGGGGCCCAGCTACGAAACCTCAAACTCCGCCCCCAACAACTCACTTCCTCCAGGGAGGCACCACTTCCCAAAGGTCCCACAGTCTTCCAAAACATTGCCACCTGTTGGAGACCAAGAGTTCAAACAGTGGTCCTACAGGGGACATTTCAAATTCAAAGAAGAATAATCGGTATTGATACCCCTGCCTCTACCCTAATGAATGCTTATTTAATTCTCTTCCCTCTCATTAACTGCCTCATTTAGTTTTACTTAACCCAACTTTTCTTAGGGCACATTATATGGCCACAGTTATTACAACTGCTGGTAACAATTATTCTTACTATTATTACTGATGATATTACAGCACTAATATCTTAGCTAACATTTTTTTTCAGCCCCTTTAAGCAAGGCATAATGCCAAATACATTGCATAAATTACCTTATGTAATGGTACTATTAATATCTTTATTTGTAGATGAGACAACTGAATCTTAGAGGTTAAGTAACTTGCCCTTATGAAATTCCTGGCTGCCTATCACACAACCCCCCAAAAAGTGTGTCACCCTATTTAGACTATGATGCTTTTTCTAGTTAATCACCCATTTTCCTACCCTCCTATATAACCTACTAAACTTGAAGAAGGTAATCATTTTCCTGTACTAAAAATTAAGCTACCTAATTAATTAAGCCATAATAATTAGATGGCATTCTAATTTGCAGTTCCATACATCTTTCAGGGGTATCATTTGAATAGACAGTAGAAGTGACTTCCAGTACTTGGGCAAGCTGTTGGCTTTCAAATTCACTTTAGCCTGAGCACAGTGTAACCCTGACTTTGAAGCCATTGTGGATGAGAAGAGAGATGCAGGTCACTAATGGAGACAGTGGTGAGGAGCTCGGGTCGAAGGAAACCTGGTGGGGATATAGAGATGACTGTAGTCTGGGCATGCTGGCTGTGTGGTCATTGGGTTCTCCAACATGTCTGGCCACATTCTGCTTCACAATTTCTACCCTCAAATTACATTTCATAGTTCATTTCCTACAGGAAAAGGAACTTTATTAATCTGTTCATCTATTCAAAGACACCAGCTCTCTTTGCCTTGAAACATTAGTTGGCAAGTGTGGTACTGTTATGCTGTATCCTAGTCCTCCCTGTGACAGAGGAAG